ACTATACTCCAGCTGGGGGTCTAACACGGGTCTTGTACAAGTTCAGCACCACCTCCTTGCTCCTGTACTCTGTGCCCCTGTTAATAAAGCTGAGAACACTGTGCTTTATTCACTGCTTTCTCTCTACCTTTCCTGTCACCTTCAGTGATCTGTGCACATATACCCCCAGCTCCTGTCGCACCCCCTTTAGAATTATACCCACCCTATTTTATATTGTCTGTCCATTGTCTGTTGTTCTTCCTGCCATAATGCTATTGATAAGGCACTTTCCATTTTAGCACAACTAGGTTTGTCTCCTTTAGTGACTGCTTGGACATATTGAACACTCCCAGGGACAGGGACAGCATGGGGTTAGATACAGAGTAAAGCTGCCTCTACACTGTCCCCCATCAAACGCTCCCAGGGACAGGGACAGCATGGGGTTAGATACAGAGTAAAGCTGCCTCTACACTGTCCCCCATCAAACACTCCCAAGTAAGGGACAGCACGGGGTTAGATACAGTGTAAAGCTCCCTCTACACTGTCCCTCCCAGAGCCAGGGACTGGTGAGCCCGCATTGATATTTACAAACCACGTGAGGTTCCTTTTCCATCTCTTCCCCCAGGGAATGAAGCGGTTTGATGCTCGGAAGGCCGTCCTGGAAGCGTTGATACAGAGAGACCTTTTCAAGGAGGTGAAGGAAAATCCGATGGTGGTACCAGTCTGTAGGTATGGAGTTCACACCAGCCTTAAACCTTGCAGCCTTTCACCTCCCTGAAACCCTCCGCGTTTATAAAGCAATGTAACTGGGCTGTATTTTAAAAAAAAAAAATTTGTTTGGCATGCGGCACTTCACTGCCGGCCAGGATTTTGTTTTTTTTTTAATTCCCTGCTGGATGAAGGGAGCTGGGTATTCCACCTGGATGTCACTTACCTGGAATTCTGTCTCTCTGTTCACACAGAGAGTGGTGGGCGTATGGAATGCCCTGCCGGCAGTGATAGTGGAGTCAGATACTTTAGAGACTTTTAAGCGACTGTTGGATAGGCACACGGAGGATAGTAAAATGTAGGGTGTGCAGGGTAGTTTGATCTTAGTACGATAATAGGTCGGCACAACATCGTGGGCCGAAGGGCCTGTACTGTGCCGTACTGTTCTATGTTTTTTGTTCTCTCTCCCTCCTTTCAGCCGCTCCAAGGATATTGTGGAGCCACTGCTGAAACCCCAGTGGTACGTTCGCTGTAGCGAAATGGCAAAAATGGCAGCAGACGCGGTGCGGAATGGAGATTTGAAAATCATCCCCGAGAATCACCTCAAGACTTGGTTTAATTGGATGGACAACATCAGGTAAGACTTCTACAGTGAACGGTAAGGTCCTGAGGAGTGTTGCGGACCGAGGGACCCAGGAGTACATAGTTTGTTGAAAGCGGCGTAACAGGTAGACAGGGTGGGGAAGAAGGCATTTAGCATGTTGGCCTTCATTGGTCGAGGCATTGAGTATAGGAGTTGGAAGGTTATGTTACAGTTGTGTAAGTCGTTGGTGAGGCTGCACTTGGAATATTGTGTACAGTTCTGGTCACCCTGTTAGAGGAAAAACATTGTTAAACTAGAAAGTGCGCAAAGAAAATTTACAAGGATATTGCTAGGACTAGTAGGCCTGAGTTATAGGGAGAGGTTGGCCAGGATAGGACTTTATTCCTTAGAATGTAGGAAAATGAGGGGTGACCTTATTGACGTGTATAAAATCATGAGGGGCGTAGATAGGATGAATGCATATAGTCTTTTTCCTATGGACGGGGAATTGAAAACTAGAGGGAATAGGTTTAACGTGAGACGGGCAAGATTTAAGAAGGACCTGAGGGGCAACTTCTTCATGCAGAGGGTGGTGTGTATGTGGAATGGGCTGCCAGAGAAAGCGGTTGAGGCAGGTACAATAGCAACATTCCAAAAAACACTTGGAAAGGTACGTGGATGGGAAGTGTTTAGAGGGATATGGACCAGATGTGGGCATTGGAACTGGCTGAGTGGGCACCATGGTCAGCATGGACCAGGTTGGGCCGAAGGGCCCGTTTCCATGCTGTGTTACTCTATGACTGTGCTGCGTTGGCCTGCACCAGGTAGGTTCTGACAAGATCTGGGTGGAACACTGAAGGTGATTTAATGTCTATAAAAACCAAAAGAATTGCAGATGCTGGAAATGAGAAACAAAAACACTAATCGCTGGAAAAGCTCAGCAGGTCTGGCAGCATCTGTGGAGAGAAATCAGGGTTAACGTTTCGGGTCCGGTGACCCTTCCTCATGTAGCTAGGAAAATGGCAGGGTTTTTTTTTTGTGCAGAAGATAGGGTGGGTGGAGGAGGTTAGGGGTAAACAACAGGTGGAGATTGAGCCCAAAGAGAGAGAAGGTCAGTTGGACAGATAAAGGAATGGATAACAACCAGGTTAGGAGGGTGAATAGATGTTAATGGGGAGTATTAGTGGCTAACAACAGGTGGTGTGTAACAGCAGGCCGTGTGATAACAAGAGTCTGTAGGTGTGAGGCTGGAAAAATACAGCAGGTCAGACAGCATCAGGGGAGCAGGAAAGTCAACACTTTGGACCGAAACCCTTTGTCATTCCAGGGGATTATTGGAAGTAAGGCACAAAATTATGAAGCGAAGGTCACAGCACGTAAGGAAAGCATTAATTAACCTAGACCCCTCTTAACACGAGAAAACGGGCATAAATTAGCAACAAAAGTATTTTTGAAAATGACTGTCACACTTCTACATGCAAAAAGCCATCACCCTAAGAACACCGCCTGCATAGTGGTGAGGGGACAGCTAAGGAAGTTCCTCCACATAAGAACAAAGCTGGAATATTTTAACCAGGCAGTCTCTGCCCTTGCTCTGTAACCTGCATCCCAGTTGTGGATTTTATGTCAAACAGTTGGTACTACAGTTTTTCCTGAAATGCAGTCTGAACCTGGAGATAGTCCACTGCTTTTCAAGGATGCATTAACCTGGTGGGTTTTATTTTTCTGGCTCCCATTTAGGTGATTATTCCTCTGACGGTCGTTATAACTGTCGCTCTATTTTGCAGCCCGCTGACATTACCAACACCCCAACCGCACGCTCACCACTCCCCCCAGCTCCCTTCAACACTTTCATCCTCCTCACACCAAAGCCTGTGCACCTTCCGTCTCTCCGCCCCGCCCCTCTCGAACTTATTTAACCCAAAACAACCCAAGTTTGTTCTTTTTAAAAATCCATGTTCCATCATCCCCTGTGGGTGCCACTGACAAGTTGTTGCCTTTCCTAAATTTTCCTAAAAACTGTGTGGCTTCCCGGACTGTTTCAGAGGGCGCTGTGGCGGGGGGGGGCTCTGGAGTCATGTGTAGTCCAGACCAGCTAAGGATGGCTTCCCTAAAAGGCATGAGTGAATCAGATGGGCTTTTACAGCAGTGGATTATTGTAGGTTTATGGTTAGCGTTGCTGCTTTCCATTCCACTTCATTTATTGATTTGAGCTAAGATTCCACCAGCAGCTGAGCTGGGATTTGATAGCACACCCTCCCAGAACGTTTAGCTCCCTGGGATGCCACGCGAGTGACACCCGTGCAGCCCCCTTTCCCCGCGAGGCACCTGCCATTCCCAAAGATGCTGCCTTGATGACCTGCTGAGAATTGAGATTTCTTCGGGTTTCACTTGCCGTGTGATTTTCTCGTGCAACGTGAAGCCAGACCAGTAGATGGCAATGGCGCGCCACTGTTTTGTGCTTGGTTTGAACTGATACAGTTCATGGGGGCCGAATGCGGAAGCAGGCCATTCGGTCCATCAAGTACACTCCGACCCTCCAAAGGGCACCCCACCCAGACCTGCCACCCCTACCCTATCCCCGTAACCGTGCGTTTCCCATGGCTTATCCACGCCAATAAAGGAACGGCGATATATTTCCAAGTCGGGACGGTGAGGGGCTTGGAGGGGAACTTGCAGGGGGCTGGTGTTCCCATGTATCTGCTGCCCCTTGTCCTTCTGGATGGAAGTGGGTCGTGGGTTTGGAAGGTGCCGCCTGAGGGTCTTTGGTGAATTTCTGCAGCTTGTAGATGGTACACACTGCTGCGACTGAGCGTCGGTGGTGGAGGGAGTGGGATGTTTGTGGATGTGGTGCCAATCAAGCGGGAGCTGCTTTGTCCTGGATGGTGTCGAGCTTCTTGAGTGTTGTTGGGGCTGTACCCCATCCAGGGGCAAGTGGGGGGCATTCCCTCACACTCCTGACTTGTGCCTTGTAGATGGTGGGACAGGTTTTGGGGAGTCAGGAGTTACTCACCGCAGGATTCCCAGCCCCTGACCTCAGACAAACTTTCAATCCTGCCTTTCGTCCTGTGATGTTCTTCCTATGACCTTGTTCCTGATCCAGCTGCTGTGTGCAGTTTGTTGATCGGCTAATACTGCAGTGAGCTTTTGTTCAGTTCACCTCAGTCAGCAAATCCACACCAGAACTTTAAATAGATAGGAATCCATTGAATTGTACAGCATCTCTACAAAGGCTATTCGGCCCATCATGCCTATGCCTGAGAGAGAGATCGGCCTGACAGTAGCCCAGTCTAACACTCTGGGAACCTGAGTTGAAATCCTTCAGCAGCTTGTGTTGGGGATAAATACTTTCGGGATATAAACTTAGTTTCCTTGGAGCATCGGAGGCTGAGGGGTGATCTTATGGCGGTTTATAAAATCATGAGGGGCATGGATAAGGTGAATAGACAAGGTGTTTTCCCCAGGGAAGTCCAAAACCTGAGGGGCATAGGTTTAAGGTGAGAGGGGAAAGATTTAAAAGGGACCTAAGGGGCATCTTTTTCTCACAGAGGGTGGTGCATGTATGAAATGAGCTGCCAGAGGAAGTGGTGGAGGCTGGTACAATTACAACATTTAAAAGGCATCTGGATGGGTATATGAATAAGAAGCGTTTAGAGGGATTTGGGCCAAATGCTGGTAAATGGGACTAGATTAATTTTGGATATCTGGTCGGCATGGACGGGTTGGACCGGTAGGGTCTGTTTCTCTCTGATTCTAGTCTTGGTGATGGTGACCATGACAACCATCACCGATTGATGTAAAACCTATCAGGTTCATGATTGTCCTTTAGGGAGAGAGATCTGCCGTCCTTCCCTGGCCTCGTCCACGTGTGACTCCAGCCCCACAGCAATGGGGTGAACTATTCACTGCCCTCTGAAATGGCCAAGCGAGTGGCTGAGCTCAAGGAGCAATAAAGGGTGCTGGCCTTGCCAATGCTGCCCACATCCCAGGAAAGAATGCAGAGCAACCACAGATCCCATTTGCTTTGCTAACCTCCTTTTCCACTCGTCCTGCCACCTTCCAAGATTTCTCTCTGTACGCAGGGTCCTCTGCCCCTGCAATCCCCAGTTCACTATTTGGGTGTGTTGCATGCTGAAGATGTTTACTATATAGTTGTTACGTGGGATCTTCACTTTTAAAGCGGAGGCAAATGGGTTTTGTTTGTCACTTCTGTGAAGGTGAGTCTTCTTCAAGGGTCAGAAACTCGTTGGTAAAACAATGAGTCTAGCTAGCATTTGTAAGAAATCATGTGACTTAAACTCAATGACCAGATAAGCTACCTAGTGAGTTAATCGCTGAAGTGCTTACTAAGTTCTTTCACGATTTGAAGAAAGAGGTTCAGTTCAGCACTAAAGGTACCTAACAGCAGATGTACTGTTGTTCGGAAGCCCACATTTATTCAAAGCATGGATTATTTTCTAGCAGTTTTGTGAGAATAGTCAGTGAGTCAGTGTGTCCCAGGGAGCGACAGTAACTAACAGCATCACATCTGGTGAATGTGAAGTGAGGCATTAACAGGACATCGCCCAATGGTTGAGTACGATGCTTTGAAATGAACATATGATTGAGGTTTCAAATGGGGTTGAGTGTCCGCAAAGGATGTTGCTGGGGAAAAGAGTTGAATCTTTATCCTTGCTGTTAATGTAATGAGCTTATATTCTTTTGTTAAAAGTGCATGGGAATGATTGCAGTGACTGTATCCCAGCGACAAAAATAAAACATAGCGTTATATGAAGCCAGGTTTCAGCCTGGAATGGGACTTGCCCGGTTTGACTATCAGCTGGGATCAGGACAGTCCAGCCCGCCCTACGTCCGTGTGTTAAATATCCCCTGAGGGCTGACTCTGTTTTCCCCGCAGGGACTGGTGTATTTCCCGACAGCTGTGGTGGGGTCACCGGACCCCAGCCTACTTTGTGACGGTCGACGATCCCGCTGTCCCGGCTGGAGAGGTGAGTTCCCTGAACTTCCCGCCCCTGCACCCATACGCTTTGCGGCCCCCGAAACGCCGATGCGGTTTGCGCACAGCAAGCTCCCACGATCCACAGTAGGAACACAGCCAGCGGGTCTGCGTCTCTGCCTTTTTCTTTTTTTAAGCAAGGTCGATTCTCAGTCGGGGGCCCTGCTGCTGTCCTGCGGACATTCCTGGGAATTTCTTACCCACTTCACGCAGTGCGGCTCTCCCTCTCTGGGAATACCAGCCCGCGCTCATGTCCCCGAGGGGAACCCGCTACCTTCCCACCGGGAGGGTGGAACATCCTGTGCCCCGAAGGCCCATTACGGGCGGCGTTCCTGCCAACGGGAAGAGGCTGGTCTCTGGTGATACGCCGTGGGGCAGAAGCTGGTGGTTTTGTGGTGCGAGGGGACCTGTTGGCACCTGCTGCAGCAGGAGGGGTCTGTCGTTGGGAGAGGAGCTTTGGGACAAATGGGCTCAGTTGGGAGAAACGTCGACACTAGGACCGCAAGTCAGCCATTCAGCCCCTCGAGCCTGCTTTCCCATTCAGCGGCTGATCTGCTATCCCAATGCCATGTTCCCTCTTTTTCTGCCCGTAAGCCTTTGCAACCCTAACAAAAAAAGTATCCATCTCTTTATCGAATATGCTCAGCGGTATTCCCGGCCTCTGCAGCCTCCTGTGGACGAGAATTCCATGGGATCACTCCCATCCGGACGAAGCAACCTTTCTTCGTCTCTGTCCTAAGATGGTCTACCCCAGATGCCGCCTGAGGCTGTGTCCCCTGGGTCTAGACTCTCCCCTGCGCACACCCCCCCACCCCCAAATCCCTGCATCTTGGGTCTGTGCAGCCCTGTTACAATGTTACCTGTTTCGGTCTGCTCGCCTCTCCCATCCTTTGAAACCCGAGCGAATCCAGACCCCCCCAACTCCCCACCCTGGGCGAGCCGCTGTTTCCCCACGGAACAGTCCTGCCATCCCCTCGGGAAGGGAGACCGAAACCCCACACATGGAATACTCTCTCCGAGCTCCTGTCTCCCTGCAGGAAGGGGCCTCCTCGTCTTCCCAACTCCTATCCTGGTTCCTGTTCCCGTGGGGAGACCCGTCCATGAAAGGTGATGGAGAGAGGTGGGAGTTGGGGGGACAGAGTGTAGATTCCAGTCTTGTGTTACACCCTGAGCCTGTGGGCTGTCTCAGCGAGCTGGGGAGGATTGAAGGCTTTGTACGCCCTGGTGTCAAGGAATTAGGAGGCAGAATGGCCTGTCTGACCACTCTCTGGCCTCCTCCTCCTCCAGTACCCAGTCGGCTCACGGCTGGCCTACCTGCGGGCGCTCCTGAAGTTTCCATGTTCTCCCCCCTCCGTGGTCCTCAGGCTGGAGTAACTCAGCTGTTTGTAATTCAGCTGGCCAGAGTCTGGAAGCTGGGCTTGGGGTCATGGTCCAGCAGACCTTGGCGATGCAGTTTGACTTAAACATTGCCAACTTTCACCCACCCAGGATGCAGATGACAAGTACTGGGTGAGTGGGCAGACGGAGGACATCGCCAGGCAGAAAGCGGCGAAGAGATTTAACGTCTCCCTCGATCGGATCTCGCTCCGACAAGGTACGGGGAATGGTGGGGGGGTGGTGGTGAATGCTGACAGTGCGAGCTGTGTGGTGCCAGGGGAGGCCGTTACCTCCCGTTCTCGCTGCGCTGCCAAGTGGCCGATATTCCGCTCCAAACCTGTCTCTCCGCCCCACCCTCCCCCCAAGACTCTGGGTACCAGTCAGAGCCGGGGGGCAGGCAGATAGAAAGGAGCTTCCCAGGAGCAGGGGGAATTCTGCTGAAGCGACATCTGGGGTGGAACTTCTCTCGAGTCAAGTCAAGACAGAGGGTCATTTCGAGCCCCCTCCCTCAGAAAGCAGCAGACGCTGCCTGCGTTGGTCTCTTTATTCACCCCCATCCCACCCTTCCTCAACTGTCGGCATTAAAAGAGGTGGTTCCAAGACGGGCAGGGCAGGGCAGGAGTGCAGGAAGTCTGTGGAGGTGGCGGGGGGGGGTGGTTACGCTCCAGATTTACAAGGCTCTCGCTCGGAAATTCAAGGAGAAGGTGCTTGGCTGGGAGAACAGTGAGAATGTGAGAGACTGAAGAGGAGGTGGTATTATCGCTGGTCTGTTAATCCAGAGACCCAGGTAATGTTCTGGAGGTCTGGGTTCGAATCCCGCTACGGCAGATGGTAGAATTTGAATTCAATAAAAAATATCTGGAATTAAAAGCCTAATAATGATGGTGAATCCATTGACGATTGTCGGGAAAACCCATCTGATTCACTGATGTCCTTTCGGGAGGGAAACTGCCATCCTTACCTGGCCTGGCCTACTTGTGGCTCTCAACTGCCCCCTGGGCAATTAGGGATGGGATGCCCACAACCCGTGAATGAACAAGAAGAAAACTCGCAGCCACGGGGGGTGACTGTGGCGATGGTGAGGGGGTGTGGCTGGCTGAGGACACGAGGAGGAAAGGAACAGTAGGATTGGGGGCGGGATAGCGTTAGGGGTAATTGGAAAGGGGGCCAGGGATGAAGCAGGGTGATGTTGTAAATCCTGTGTAATTCCTGGGAAGCTGTGTGGATCAGGCACCCAGACACTGGACACAGTTCACCTCAAAGGGGATATGGGATAGCTTTGGTAAATTCATATCAGGTCAATAGCAAGGTCTTTTCCCCAGGGTAGGGGAGTCCGAAACCAGAAGGGCATAGGTTTAAGGTGTGAGTGGGGAAAAATTTAAAAGGGACCTAAGGGGCAACTTTTTCACACAGAGGGTGGTGCGTTTATGGAATGAGCTGCCAGAGGAAGTGGTGGAGGCTGGTACAATTACAACATTTAAAAGGCATTTGGATGGGTATATGAATGGGAAGAGTTTGTAGGGATATGGGCCAAATGCTGGCAAATGGGTCTGGATTAATTTAGGATATCTGGGTCAGCATGGACGGGTTGGAGCGAAGGGTCTGTTTCCATGCTCTATGACCTCATGTTTGCCTCTCTCGACCCCTCTGTCTTCCAGATGAGGATGTCCTGGATACCTGGTTCTCTTCTGGCTTGTTCCCGTTCTCCATCTTCGGGTGGCCGGATGAGGTGAGTGAGTTTTGAAAGACAAAAGGTGATTGGGTCACGAAGGTGTGTTTTTGGAGTTGTCTGCTCTGGACCTCTCCCTCGGTTTGTCCTCCTGCCGCTGTTGCCACGGGTGATGAATTCCTCGGTCATTCCGAACTCGGCCGTCTGTCTCCCTCTCACGGGAACCCACTTGTCTCATCTGGTCCTCACTCCAAATCTCTAACTGTTTCCAGTCCTGATGCAAGGTTGCTGTCCCTGAACCGTTGTATCTCTGTCTCGCTGTCTGTCTCTCCACGGTTGCTGAGCATTTCCAGTGTTCCCCGCTTTTATTTGGAAACTGGATCCGAGCAAAGAACTCAGCCTCCTGGAGGGTACACATCACTTGAGGCACAGTTCCGATGGTCAGTGGAAATTTGACCATTATTTCGGAAGTGTTGGGACTTCAGAAGAGGGGCAAACTACTCCTCAGTTAAACACATAAACACAGCGGCTACAAGAGCAGGTCAGAGGCTGGGAATCCTGCAGTGAGTAATTCCCCTCCTGACTCCCCAAAGCCTGTCCCACCATCTACAAGGCACAAGTCAGGAGTGTGAGGGAATACTCCCCACTTGCCCCTGGATGGGGTACAGCTCCAACAACACTCAAGAAGCTCGACACCATCCAGGACAAAACAGCCCCCGCTTGACTGGCACCACATCCACAAACATCCCACTCCCTCCCCCACCGACGCTCAGTAACAGCAGTGTGTACCATCTACAAGATGCACTGCAGAAATTCATCAAAGATCCTCAGGAAGCACCTTCCAAACCCACGACCCACTTCCATCCAGAAGGACAAGGGGCAGCAGATACATGGGAACACCAGCCCCCTGCAAGTTCCCCTCCGAGCCACTCCCCATCCTGACTTGGAAATATATCGCCGTTCCTTCAGTGTCGCTGGGTCAGAATCCTGGAATTCCTTCCCTGAGGGACATTGTGGGTCAACCCACAGCATATGGACTGCAGCGGTTCAAGAAGGCAGCTCAACCCCACCTTCTCAAGGGGGGGCAGTTGATTGATTTGATTTATTACTGTCATGTGTACCGGGATACTGTCAAAACTGCTGACTTGCATGCTTTAACGGCAGATAGTAGTGTACAGGGGCATCAGGTGTGGGATACAGTATTACAGCTGCTGAAAAGGGGCAGAGAGAGATAAACATTGAGCAGGGTTTATTTGCGAAGATTTTGTTATTCATTCACGAGATGTTGGCGTCACTGGCTGGGCCCAGCATTTATTGCCCCATCCCTAGTTGCCCCCCTTGAGAAAGTGGGGGTGAGCTGCCTCCTTGAACCGCTGCAGTCCATGTGCTGTGGGTTGACCCACAATGCCCCTTAGGGAGGGAATTCCAGGATTTTGACCCCGAAAGAGGGTGGTGGAGGATGCGGATGGATGAGCAGGCGAGGGGTGGAGGCGGGGGGAGGCGAGCGATCGGGAGGGACACGGTGGGGCTGAGTCTGTGGCCGTGTGGCAATGGGACGGACTGTGTGCGTGCGCGGCGCGTGCTTTGCCGGGTGCGGAATAACGCTGGCTGGATTTTCCTTCGTGCAGACGGAGGACCTGAAAGCTTTCTACCCGGGCACACTGCTCGAGACGGGCCACGACATCCTGTTCTTCTGGGTGGCCAGGATGGTCATGTTGGGATTGAAGCTGACTGGGAAGCTGCCTTTCCGAGAGGTAATGTGTGTGTCCCAAAAAAACTCACCTGGGTGGGGGTGCACCAGAGTAAGCTGTTTATCCAGAGACCCAGGAAATGTCCCGGGGACCCGGCTTCGAATCCCATCACAGCAGGGGGTGGGATTGCAATTCAATAAAAGGTCTGGAATGGCAGCCAAGGCCTGGAAAAATCCCATTGGATTCACTCATGTCCTTTAGGGAAGAGTGACTCCTGTCCCCATCAGTGTTACCAACCCTCTGTACAGTGCGGGTGACTCCTGTCCCCATCACGGCCCAGTATTACTGACCCTCTGTACAGTGCGGGTGACTCCTGTCCCCGTCACGGCCCTGTGTTTCTGACCCTCTGTACAGTGCGGGTGACTCCTGTCCCCGTCACGGCCCAGTGTTTCTGACCCTCTGTACAGCGCGGGTGACTCCTGTCCCCGTCACGGCCCA